CCTACAGCGACTATGCTCTTTTCTGCTGCTAAGAGGGCCTTCTCGAGGAGGTCAACAGTGAGAGTGGTGGGACAGACTGAGAGGAAGTGGTCCCTGACTACGCAAAGGGAGTCAAGGAGGCGGGTGACTATGTAGTAGAGAGTGATGTACATAGGGGGGGGGGTCTTGGCACAGAACTCAGCAGGAAGCGCAGCGCGGTAGCGAGTGTCACTAGTGCGGAGGTGAGTAATGAGGTCAGCGACTGTGGGAAAGGCAGCAAGGTCAGGAAAGAGGTACGGTAGCATGAGGCGGCTCAGTGCAGCAGTGGCAGGGGAGGAGTAGCGTGCAACTACAGCGGCGTACAAGGTCTGAGCACTCTTGTACTGGCTAAAGTGCGCACGCTCAGAGGTAGGCAGGTGGCGACGCACAGCAAGGCATGCAGCAGCATCGCGTGTGGCCCACTGTGAGCGAACAGTGGCGTCAGCATCAGCAGGAGGGGCAGGAGAGGCACCAAAGGTTATGTCAAAGAGAGAGAGACCGTCTGCCCTATCGCACTGTAAGAAAAGCTGCAGGTCATCTTTCCGGACGTCAAAGTCAATGGCCCGACCCTCAGCGTCAAAAGCGAGGACACTAGGGGTAGCCATGACAGCAGTAGACTAGCAGCGCAAACAGTAGGGTGAGGGCAGTGCTGTGAAAGAGGCGCTGCTCTTACCAGACAGGGCGGCTCGGGCGGCTCGGCTGCAGGGCGACTCGGCGGCTCGGCAGCTGGGCGGCTCGGCGGCTCGGCTGCTGGGCGGCTCGGCGGCTCGGCTGCTGGGCGGCTCGGCGGCTCGGCTGCTCGGCTGCTGGGCGGCTCGGCTGCTGGGCGGCTCGGCGGCTGGGCGGCTCGGCTGCTGGGCGGCTCGGCTGCTGGGCGGCTCGGCTGCTGGGCGGTCCGGCGGGGCCGCTGAGAGGGCGGCGTCCGGGGCTGCTGGGAGGAGGCGGCGGGGCCGCTGAGAGGAGGCGGCGGGGCCGCAAAGGTAGGTGGCGGGGCCGCAGGTATTTGGCGGGGCCGCTGGTTGGTGTCGGGGCCGCAGGCAGGTGGCAGGGCCGCAGGTAGGCGCCGGGGCCGCACAGGTAGGTGGCGGGGCCGCGGGTAGGTGGCGGGGCCGCAGGTAGGTGGCGGGGCCGCTGGTAGGTGGCGGGGCCGCAGGTAGGTGGCGGGGCCAGCAGGTAGGTGCCGGGGCCGCACAGGTAGGTGGCGGGGCCGCGGGTAGGTGGCGGGGCCGCAAGTAGGTGGCGGGGCCGCTGGTAGGTGGCGGGGCCGCAGGTAGGTGGCGGGGCCAGCAGGTAGGTGCCGGGGCCGCACAGGTAGGTGGCGGGGCCGCGGGTAGGTGGCGGGGCCGCAGGTAGGTGGCGGGGCCAGCAGGTAGGCGCCGGGGCCGCATAGGTAGGCGTCGGGGCCGCAGGTAGGCGCCGGGGCCGGTAAGGGCGGCGTCAGGGCTGCAGGGCGGCGCGAGGGCCGCTGGGTAGGCGACGAGGCCGCAGGGCGGCGGATCGGGGCCGGGAAAGGGCGGCGCGATGGCCGCGGGGTAGGCGACGAGGCCGCAGGGCGGCGGGTCGGGGCCAGGAAGGGCGGCGCGAGGGCTGCAAGGCAGGCGACGGGGCCGCTAGGGCGGCGCGACGGGGCGAGAAAAGGGGGGGAGCGCGACTTGGGCTAGGGCTGAGCGCGCTCCGGGCAGGAAAAAAAATGTCGAATTGGTGGGCCCTAGGAACAGCTCCCACGAGGGAACCTGCTCGATACCATGTGAGAATTGAAACGAGAATGAATGAACTATGAAACAGTTGGGTACAAGTACTAACCCTCATTGGGTTGTACCCCATATGGGCTACCCCACTACAGCCTACACAAAAGCATAAGCTATAATGTTCTGACACGCTATGTTCTCAAGTATTATCTCGTCAAGTAGGGTGTTTCTTATGCCACTCGGCTTTGAGGGAGGGACGTGTGAGAGTACGGCGGGTACGCTTACCCATATCTAATTTCCCTTGCATTAACTTATACATTTCTTATTTCTTGTGCTTGTTTTCCTATTTTCGTTGATTTACTACGTATGTTATAGCTATAAGAAATGACTAAGTTACATGCAACGAATTCTGTGCATTTCGGTTTATCACTGTGTGACTTTGCATAACGTGTGATTCCACCGAGATGCCTCTGCTGAATCTGGAAACAAACCATGCGAGACACTTCGCGACCCTTGGCACCTTTGCGTAACACCTGGTTACCTTACCTTGAGTTGTGTCTATATATATATATGACGTAGCAGAAGACTCGAAAGAAGGGTCAGTGACAGCCGTAGCAAGGAGACGCGTGACAGTAGGACTGGCAGCACGAAGAGAGTCCGACTCCGGGTCGGCAAGAGCAGAAAGAGAGGAAGCAGGAGGAGAAGGCAAAGGGGCACGCAGAGGAGCAGTAGACGGACGCAGAGACATCCGGTGCGTGCCAGGGACAGGAGGAGGACGCTGACGCGAACCGCGACCACTAGTGCGCGCAGTACGAACAGGCGACGCAGGACGAGACGCAGGCTCACGACGCTCAGTAAGACCTCCAGTCGGACCAGCGTAGGGAGAAGGAGCAGGCAAAGGGGAGGCAGGCTGTAGCTGTGACTGGACAGGCTGTGGACCCTCTAAGGGAGGAGGAGGAGAACCAGGGGAAGGTGTAAGACCAAGAAACTGCTGCAGGAGCGGAACGAAGTACGGTCGGGGCCGCGAGGCGACTCCAGAAACAGCAGGGACAGCACCAGTACCCCCAGCAGGAGTATCCGCTCCAGCAGCACCTCCAGTAGCTCCAGAACCCCCAGCAGCACCTCCAGAAGCCCCAGAACCCCCAGCAGCACCAGGAGCACTGCCAGCTGGACCGCCAGCGGTAGTCTCAGCGCCAACACCCTCAGTAGTACCAGCTCCAGAAGAACCCTCAGGCCCAGCAGCTCCAGTACCCCCAGTACGAGCACCTCCGGGACGCGCGGCAGCAGTACCCTCTGCAGCCGAAGAACCTCCAGCACCAGCAGCACGCCTCCAGCGCCGGGCAAACCACTCACGCAGCTCCTGTGGGGAGAGTGGCTCTCGGCGAGACGAAGCACCTCCAAGCGGAGAACCTCCAGGCGAAGAACCTCCAGGCTCAGCACCCTCAGGCAAAGCACCTCCAGGCACAGCACCCCCAGGCACAGCACCCCCAGGCTCAGCATCCCCAGGCCCTGCACCCCCAGGCCCAGCACCCCCAGGCTCAGCACCCCCAGACTCAGTACCCCCAGGCTCAGCACCCCTAGGCTCAGTACCCCCAGGCTCAGCACCCTCAGACTCCGCACCCCCAGTCTTAGCACCCCCAGGCGTAGCACCTCCAGTCCCAGCACCCCCAGGCTTAGCTCCCGCAGCAGCACCAGAGTCACCAGTGACCTCGACAGGCTCAACTGCGTCTACCTGGGACACATCTGAAGGGGCAGGACCCTGAGGGGGGAGGGGGTCGACCGGGGGGGGACCTGGTACCAAGAAGAGCGGGGGCGGGGGGAGGGAAGGAGTGCGGTAGGGGAAGAGGCGGTAGTAGGGTACCGACTCGTCAAACGTGACATCCTGGGAGGACAGAACACGTCGAGAGGTGGGGTGGTAGACCTGCCACCCAGGGGCGTCGGGGGGGAACCCCAGGAAGACGCAGGGAGCAGCGCGAGGGGACAGCTTGTCCGCAGACAAGTCGCGGACAAACGCCCGAGATCCCCAGACCCGGAACGCCGACGCATCGCCAACCTTCCCCGTCCACAGCAGGGCTGGGGAGGTCTCCGGCCTAGAGACCCTGGGTTGGAGGTTGATCTGATGCGCCGCGTACCGAACCGCAAACGGCCACAGAAAATGGGGGGCAGCCGCATGCATCATAGACGTACGAGCGACGTCCATGACCATGCCAATGCGGCGCTCTGCAATCCCATTTTGCTGCGGTGAGTCCGGAAGCGTGAAGGTCTGGCGGATGCCTCGCGCACGACAGTAGGCACGCAGAAGGCCAGAGGAGAACTCTCCGCCTCTGTCCGAGTGCAGACGCAACACACGAAAGTCCGAGCCAAAGCTCTGTCTGAGCTGGAGACGAGCTGCGCGGATCCAGTCGATCAGCACCTCATTGACATCACCCTTGCTGCGCAAGGGGAAGACTGTGGTGTAACGCGAGTAGTCATCAACCACCAACAGGAAGTAGCGCTCGTGACCGAGTCCACGGACGCGGGCAGGGCCCCACACGTCCATGTGAAGCGTCTGCAACGGAGCCTCTATCGAAGGAAACTGGGAGGAGTGAGGGGCAGCACGCTGGCGCCCCTCGACACAGGGGACACAGGCAGGGCCAGGGCCCTGAGGAAGGGGAGGGAGGGACCGGGGGAGACCAGACACAAGAAGACGGGAGGCCATGCCTCTGAGCCGAAGCAGAGAGGGGTGGCCAAGGCGGTGGTGCCAGAGGAGGGTCTCGTGAGACAGACGGCGACACGAACAGGGGGCAGACTCAGGACCAGACCTGGACGCTGCAGCAAACACCTGACCAGACGAAGAGACCCTACCAGACTCAGCACCTGGAGGAGAAGCAGTGGTCAGTGTGTACAGGCTCGACCCTGGCTGACGTGTAAACGTAGCCAGGTGGCGACCTGTGCTAGCCTGTGTGCAGTGTGTCACCCGCTGATGAGCAGGAGTGAACTGGTGGACACCCGCATCCTGTAGGTCAGCACCACTCTCCAGGTTCGTAGAGAACGAGGGGAGGTAGAGACCAGACAGGGTGCCAGAGGGAGCTGCCGGACACGGGAGGACTGTGGAGAAACGAGACAGGACAGGACCCCCAGAGGGGTCAGCCAGGGACACCGCAACCGGCCGACTAAGTGGCGTGAGAGTGGTGCAGTCCCGAAAGAAGGAGCGAGACGCCCTAGAGTCAAGGGTGAAGGTGTGAGAGGCCGAAGCCGACACAGTACCTGAGAGTGCAGACTCACCAGTACCTGAGAGCACAGACGCACTGGCACCTAGAGCAGCAGCCTCACTGGCACCTGAGGCAGGAGTACCAATGCCCGGGTCGGGCGGGAAACACCGGTAAGAGTCACCCTCATCACTAACAGTCACAGCATACATGGCAGCAAGGATAGCATCAAAGTCAAGATCAAAGATAGCTACACCAGCCCTAGACAGCTCTCCCCAGCGGGGGATCTCAGAGGCCTCCGGAAACTGCTGGCGCCAAGTGTCGGTCAGGCGGGCAAAGCAGCGGCGGGCGGTGTGGGTGCCCCCACACTGCTCACCCGCACGGTCGCCGGTGCGAAGGACGTAGGTGCAGGGACCGAACGCCCCACCACGCTGACGCTGCAAGTACCACTCACGGAGCTGGTGAGGGGCGGGGACGTCGCGAGAGCGCTGCTGCTGCTGCTGCTGCTGGCGCTGACCACCCCCAGTGCTGCTCCGCTGGGACGAGCCACTCCGACCACCTCCACCACCGCCACCCCCGCCTCCGCCGCCACCGCCGCCACCGCCACCCTCGCCCCCACCGCTCCCAGCGCCACCTCCACCGCCACCTCTGCCGCCACCTCCGCCTCCACTGCCGCCACTAGTACCTCCACCCCCGCCCCCACCTCCACCGCCACCCCCACTCCCCCCGCCACCCCCACCTCCTCCGCCACCGCCCCCGCTAGCTCCACCCGCTCCCTTGCCCCCCTTGCCCTCGCCAGAGCGGCGCCTACCGCTGGGGGCAGACGTCGCACCGACCGACTCTAGACCAACGAGGTCGGCCGCAGAAGCAGAGGCGACAGAGGGTAATAGGGGGGAAGGAGAACACCCCTCAAAGATGGGGGTGCGGGGGTCACCACGAGAGGCCCCTACAGCAACTATGCTCTTCTCGGCCGCTAGCAGGGACTTCTCGAGGAGGTCGACAGTGAGGGTGGTAGGACAGACAGAGAGAAACTGGTCCCTAACAGCACGAAGGGACTCAGGGAGACGGGTGACTAGAAAGTAGAGGGTGATGTACATGGGAGGGGGGTTTTCGGCGCAGAAGGCAGCAGGAAGCGCAGCTCGGTAGCGAGTGTCACTAGCGCGAAGGTGGGTAAAGAGGTCAGCGACTGTAGGAAAGGCAGCAAGGTCAGGGAAGAGGTAAGGTAGCATGAGGCGGCTCAGTGTAGCAGTGGAAGGGGAGGAGTAGCGCGCAACTACAGCGTCGTACAAGGCCTGAGCGGTCTTGCACTGACTAAAGTGTGCACGCTCAGAGGAAGGGAGGTGGCGACGCACAGCAAGACGTGCAGCAGCATCGCGTGTGGCCCACTTGGAGCGAACAGTGGGGTCAGCATCAGCAGGAGGGGCAGGGACAGCGCCAGAGGCAAAGTCAAAGAGAGAGATGTCATCTACTGAATCGCACTGCAAGTACAGGTGCAGGTCCTCGACCCAGACCGCAAAGTCAATGGCGCGACCCTCAGCGTCAAAGGCCATGATAGCAGCCGACAGTCTCACCAGAGAGGAAGGGTCGAGCAGCTCAGTAGGACAACAACACGGCAGCTCAGCAACTTCACCGGCCCAGGAGTAGCAGCAGCCACAGGACCCGGCGCTCGGCACCGTAGGCGGCTCGGGCGGCTCGGGCGGCTCTTGCGGCTCGGGCGGCTAGAGCGGCTCGGGCGGCTCGGGCGGCTCGGGCGGCTCTGGCGGCTCGGGCGGCTCGGGCGGCTCGGGCGTTCAGCGGCACGGGCGATTCGGGCGGCTCTCTGCTCGGGCAGCGCTCGCGGCTCGGGTGACACGGGCGGCGCGGGCGTCGTGACGGGCTGCTCACGGGCGGCTCACGGGCGGCTTCACGGGCGGCTGCACGGGCGGCACTGGCGGCTGCACGGGCGGCTGAACGGGCGGCTGAGGGCGGCTGCACGCTGGGCGGCTGCACGGGCGGCTGGACAGGCAGCTGCACGGGCGGGTGCGCGGGCGGCTGCACGGGTGGGTGCGCGGGCGGCTGCACGGGCGGCAGCACTGGCAGTTGCCCGGGCGGGTCGTCGGGCGGCGCACAGGCAGCTCACGGGCGGCTGTTCGGGCGGCGCGTCGAGCTGCTGAGGGCGACGCACGGGCGGCGCATGGGCTTGCACGGGCGGCGCGTCGGGCGGCTAGCGGACGTCGGGCGCGCGGGCGCTAGGGCGGCGACGGGCGGCGCTCAGGCTCTAGGGCGGGCGGCCGTCAGGCTCTAGGGCGGGCAGCGCTCAGGCTCTAGGTCGGGCAGCGCGCGGGCGCTAGGGCGGGCGGCGCTATGGCGCTAGGGCGGGCGGCGCTCAGGCTCTAGGGGCCGTTAGGGCAGATCGAAAAAAAAAGGAAGAGAAAGGGCCCGGAGGACGCTCCGGGCAGAAAAAAAAAGTTACGAGGTAGTGGTGGTGGGCCCTAAGCACAGTTCCCACAGGGGAACCTGCTAGATACCATGAGAAGAAGTGAACGAGAATGAATGAACTATGAATGAAGTGAGTACAAATATGAAACCCTAATTGGGTTGTACCCCCTATGGGATACCCCACTATAGCCTACACAACATCATAAGCTATAATGTTCTGACATTCACCACATGGACATGACGGAGCAGCGCATCGATCTGAATCACGCTGTACGGATACACTCATGTCGTCCACTTGAGGCGAAGGCATCCAGTTGCAGTATCCTCTCCGCTTGCATTCCAATGTCTAATTGCCAATCGAGACCAACATTGATTACATTGTGCCTTCATATACAAGCATTGAACCCACTAAACAGGTTGATCTAACGCATGGCAATAACCCAGCCACAAGTCGTTTGTAGGCCGGCAGCCCGTGCAGGCCATGGCCTATCTCGGCTACGGCCGGCGCGGTAGAGGACACGTTGGAGGCACGGTTGGCTAGTGCTAGGAGATGCCATAAAGCTGGCGAGTTCGGGACAGCCCTCCTCTTGAAGTTGGTTGTCCTGTGTATCCGCACACATTCGACCGACGACCTGTACATCAGCCAGCTGAAGGAGAAGTTGACCCACATGAGGGTGGGCGAGCAGGAGTCGGCGACCGACTAGTGCAACCATGCTCGATGGATTTTGGCCGACATGAGGATGGCCGGCGTCGACTACCCAACGGCATCATACATCACACACGCCGTCAAGGGCCTCCCGAGCGGCTACAACCTGATGTGTTGGATGTTGACGATGCCCGGCATGCGTGAATCACTGAACGAGGACACGCTGACCTCGCACATCATCAAGGACGAGGTCATGCAGGATGCAAAAAAGGCCCATTGAGCTCCTTCTGCAGGCGAACTACGTCACCCCGACAAAGCAGGGAAGTCGGCAGTGGCAGCGAGGGAAGCCGGGCGGAGGTGGTAGCAGAGGTGGGAAGTCAGCGAAGGACGCCGACAAGATGAAGTCAGCTCGGGATGGCGGTCAAGGAGGTGGTTGTCGACGGCATGAGTGCTGGGTGTGTGGCGACCTTGACCACCTCTCCTTCGAGTGTCCCGACCGCGACGACTCCGATGATGACGGCCGCAAGGGGAGTCGTGGGAGGTTGGCCAACGGTCGTCCACGTCGATACGAGAATCCGCGCAAAGTGAAGTAGTCGGCGAAGTTGACGGCGTAGGACTCCGAACCTTCCTCTCAAAGCAAGGGTTGAGGCGACGGCGAGGCGTCGTGCTCGATGGTCGGTGTCTTGGATCTAACGGTCTCACTGGCGCTGAAGGCCGGCGAGGATTTCTTTGCAGTCACAGCTGCCGTGCAGGCGAACCCAACGGTGGTCCTGCTCGACAACGGCTGCTCGCACCACCTGATGGGGATGAAGTAGGCCTTTGTCAACATGGAGCCAAGCGGCGACGTGAAGCACGTGCACGGCTTCAATGGGGCGTTGCACGTCGTCCAGGGCTGTGGCACCATCGCCTTGCAAGGGGACGCCGAGAAGCAAGTCCTCGTCCCCAACGTGCTCTACGTCCCGGGCGTGCAGGCGAACTTGCTATCAGCTGGCCAGCTGAAGGACAGCGGCGTGAAGCTGCAGGACGACGCGACAAGATGCTGCTCCTCTTGGCGGCAGGGGACGTGCTTGGTCGGGCAAAGTACACCAGTCGGGTCCTCTGCACCGACCTTCGCCCTTGCTTGACGAGGTGGCGTCGACGCCGACTGATGTGGTGGCTCCGCGGGCAATCGTCTTGGCGACAAGTCGACGCCAGACAGGTGGAACGTGAGGCTCACGCACGTCGGCATCGACACCATCACGCGCTCTTTGAAGCACGGAGTCGCCACCAGCCTGGAAATCAAGCCGGGGACCGTGGCCAACTTGCCGTGCGTCTCCTGCGTGGGCGGGAAGTTGACACGACACACCTTCCCCGACATGGGCTCGGACGCCGACGAGGCCCTAGCCGTGGTGCATATCGACTTGTGCGGGCCGTTCCGGGTGGCCGCCAAGGACGGCAGCCTATACTTCTTGCTGCTAAAGGACCACAAGACCTGCTACGTATGGGTGAAGCTGGGCGCTAAGAAGTCCGACGTGCTCTGGGAGTTCAAGAAGTGGCTGGTGGTGGTGGAGCGGCAGACAAAGAAGTTGGTGATGATGCTCCGCTCCGACTGCGGAGGGGAGTGCGTCGAGAGGAAGTTCGTCGATTTCGTGGACGAGAAGGGCATTGTCTACGACTTGACCTGCCTGTACACTCCGCAGCAGAATGCCATGGTGGAACAGGAGATGCGGACGGTGGTCGAGTCGGTGCGAACGATGCTACTGGACATGGGAGTGCAGCACCACTGGTGGCACCTCGCCCTGCGGCAGGCCGTTTGGGTGCAAAACTGGCTTGAGCGGTCGGTGTTGCCGCCGGGGACGATGCCGCACCAACTCCTAACCGGCAAGAAGCCGGACTTGACGCTGGCGCGCGTGCAGCGTGGTGGGAACTTGGCACCGAAGGCCCGGTGGGGGATTCACTTCGATGTGTCGTCAGGGAGCAAGGGCTGGAAGGTGCTCGACCTAACTGAAAACAAGGTGGTCACCATGGTGGAGGCCATCTTCTACGAGACGATGTTGCTGGAGGTGTGGTAGTTGGAGTACGGGCTGGCATCAGAACGGACGCAGACCAACCCGCCGACAGACAACTCCACTACGACCTTCCCTCTGCTCGCCGAGGCCGTAGAGTTGGATCATGAGGACGTCGAGGCTGTCCGCCTCACTACCCCTTCCCCTATCCTTGTCGTCCCCTCACTCGTCGCCGACCCGCAGAAGCCGACACCGAGGTCGGCCACCGGCGATGAGGGGAGACTTGGGGCGTCGCCTGTGGCACGGGCCAGTGGCATCGCCGGCGGCCGATGTGACGTCCAGCATGTTGGCGAGGAAGTGATGTCGCCGGTGACACGGTAGCTGACGATGGTGAGCAGCGGGCAGCAAAGTCGGCAGGGGAGCCGATGTCGGGGGGGAATTTGACAACGGCGCCGACTATTATGCAGCAGATCAATGAGGGCGGTGAAGCTGGCGATGACGGAGCACAAGAGGTACCAGCCAAGATAGACACGAATGACATCCATCTGGGGTTGGCAAAGCAGGCCGGCAAAAACAAACACCATCTGCAAGTTTCAGAGTGCAGAGTAATGGAGAGGGTGAGCACAGTGGGTGTGAATAGTTGGGAGATGAGTTGCAATATGAGCATACTGGTTTATGGACGATGGTGATGAGCACTAGGGAATGGAGAAGGAGGCATGCAGCAGAGGGTTTGTTGTAACATGGATTCAGCAAGCTATGTATTTAGGGCGCACTCTATCGCACAGGATGTTAAAATGCAAGGGCTGTCATACCTGCGTGACGGCCTTGTGCTCATCGGTCGTGACACATGCTCCGGTCTCGAAATAGGCGCATGTGATTCAGGCGCGTGCGGTCGCGAATGAGCGAAAGGCGCCTGCCCATAAACATCAGCTCAACGATGGAACAAATCCAGAAACATGTGAGTAAGAGCATAGTAGTAATGCTTTGGGTCTAGGTGAACAAGATCAATTAATCCAAAGCAAGAGAACACTGACATCTCTATCTGCTT